TTTATGACCCATTGGTAAAAGTGTTGCGCCTTTTGGATGGTGATGAAAAACTAACAATGGAATTTATTTACGAGGTTATAGATAGAGCTAAAAAAGTAATTTAGCAAAATTGTTGTTATTCTGCTGAATATGAAAAGATTATTGATAATAGATGAAGTTGACTTACATTTAGTTGGTAAATAAACCAAGAATATAGATTGTATTTAAAAAAATATGTTTATTTTTTATGCTTAAATCGCTTTTATATTTATTTTTTATTACTTTAATATAATATTGTTATGAATTATGTTTAGCTTACTATCTTAATCCACAATTTCAATTTGGAGTGAAGCATTTTGCAAATGTACTTAAAGAAACATTAAACGGTATAGAGCAGTTATTGAAAGATTAAAACTTGTATAGATACTCAAATTAGAATGATTAATCAGGTTAGTATTTAATATTATTTTATAACTTTGACATTTATTTTATATATTAAAAATAGAATTATTTTTTATTTATTCATTTATTATTATATTTTTAATCGATGTAGTTGCTATTATTTCGAGACAAGTATAAAATTTTGGTACTCTATAGGCACAAAGTGCTTGGAAGCAAATGAATCCAGGTAATTAGTAAATTAAATAATTATAATTTATTTATATTATTTAATTAAATAGTACATTTAAATTTAATTTAAATAATTTTATACAGTTGAGTGGTAAATGATATATGGCACTTGTGTTCCTGAATTACAAAAACTAATAATCAAAGTGCTTAGTCAAATAGCATCTACAATAAATTGTGAACGTAACTGAACACATTTAGCTATATTCACACCAAAGTAAGAAATAGATTGAAGTTTGAAAATTTTAAAAACTTGTATATACCATTACAATATAAGGCTCGAGGATGAGACATAAAAAAGGAATGAACACTGATGAGATAAATAATTATTTTAATCCTATTAGTTTTGATCATGTTTTTGAAGATGATGATCTACTAACAGAATGGCTATAAGAGAAAGAAAATCCTCTATTAGATAATCAAAACTTTAATTGGTTATGTACAAATAATTCTGATAATGAAATTATTGTTGAACAATCACACTAATCTCAAGAAAAGAATATATCTTATTCAGTTCAAGTCCAACATCAAGTTAGAGTGATGATGGTAGGGATTTAAGTCTAAATAATGGTGATGCTGCAAATCTTGATGGTAATATGGATGCAAATTGACCTTATAGCCCACTTGGAAGAGAACTTGGGCTTGCTGCTACTAATGAACTTTTCATTAACATGACAGAATATGGAGTAAATTCATCTGCTGAATCTAATAGGAGTCAAAGTGCACATATAGCTCGATCAAAAGGAAAAGCCAAGAAGCACTACTATGATATTTTTAGAGGTTCTTCATCTTCAAGTAGGAGATCAAATTCTAGTATTTTTTAGTATAATGAATCATCTGCTAGTACTAAAAACGTTATTATCGATCGGAACAACCTAATTTTCAACCTTTTCATGGTTATCCAACTTTATATGGTTGTTATCTACACAAATGTATCATCCACCTCAAATATATCATTTAACATAAATGTATCTCCCACCACAAATGTATTATCGTCAAGTATATCCTCCACCTTAAATGCATCAAGAACAAAGGCTATAGGGATGGAGATGGAGTTAACTTGACTCTTAAAGTAAAAATAGAGAATTTGATCATTCTCGTCATTCTACCATGTGGTTGATAGAATTTGAAACTATTATATTTTTAAGTTTGTAATTTTATTAAATATAGATGCTTGGTATTTAACATATTATGTTTTGTTAATATCTTGATTTATCTAGAATTAATATTAAATATGAACTTAACTCAAGCGAAAAATTTGTTGTTAAACCAAATATGAATGTTTAATTATAATCTAACTAAAATTGTAAATAATTTTTTTAGAAAATAAAAAATATAGTATCATAAACTATTTTAAAAATCATTAAATAAGAGTTATTATTATTATATTATAATTATTACATTTTATAACAAATTATATAAAATTAAAAAAATTAATGACCGCAATGATTTTGATAACCATAATAATCTTTGTCATATCCAAAAATACGATAAACGTAATATGACCGAAAATATAACTACAACTGCTATTTAAATCCCTAAATGCAACATTTTGTATATATTAACATAAATTTATGGTAATCAGTGGGTTGCATTTAATTATACTAATGACTAAATTTCTTCCCACTTAATTACACAAATCAAATTAGAACTCGTGATGAAGATTTTAAATCAGCCCCACCACAAAAACACATTAAGAACTAAAATGCATTATTCTAATAAAAACACATCCAGAAAAAAAATCTAAATGTCAGATATCGATACCGTGTATTGTTGTATCTCTCTTCGTGATAAAAAAATATATATTATACTCATAAATCGTCAAAACTCAAGACCAGAATAATCCAAGTCTCAAGAGTTCAAAATACCAGCAACCCAAGTATAAATTATTTATCATTCATAACGATTCAAATTTGTCTAAAATAAAATTGGCACTATCAATCAAGTATATTTAATAAAATTAAGCAATATAATTTCACTGCTATTTCAATGGTAAATCAAGTATAAAATAAGGTCTAAAGTTGCAACTAATAGTGGTACATGAAGTTAATTATTAAGGCTCAAAAGTTAATTCTAAAGGCAGTTTAAGGTTATCAGATGTTAAATTCGATCATTAAAATAAAAAATCCAGCATTTTTTTTTAAAATTTTTGCCGATAAAAATAGAGTTTAACACTTTATTAAAAAGTAATTCGAATATAATCTGTTACATTTGTGCAATTAATTAAGTTATGCGGCGGAATAACAAGTCATATTGATGTCATTTCCTAATGATTTTAACTTTGAATTATGTCGTTTTAGATTAATTAGTACTCTTCCTATTCTTAACTAACCTTGAAAGAAAAAAAAAAAAGGTTTTTGAACGAACCTAGCTATAACCTGACTTTATATATAAGTTAATGATCATTTATTAACCTATTAATCTTGGCCCCAAAAAGGTTCACCTATAATTCGTTGACAAAGTTAAAAAGAAAAAGTTGCATGCAATGCAATAGGAGACAATTAAAAGCTTGCTCCTTAGCTTAACCTAATTTTATTGACAATATTGATATAATTAGCAGTGATGGAGCCAGAAAAAATATCGAGTTATATGTAAGAAAAAAAAAGCTGTCGATGGAATCATATATATCAACCCGCGCCATATAAAAAAGATACTTTATATATTCATCGAATTTTTGAAAGTTCTAAAAATCATAATAATCTCATTTAAAGAATGCATGTTCTTTTTATATAACTATGGTTGGAACCTAAAATCTTTATCTATATCCCACCTAAGTCTTACCATACTCAAACTAAATTCCAAGTAAGAAGACATGTTTTTTCTTTCGTGAACCGAAATGGTTGGTGAATGTATGTTTGAGAGGTCAGGCAAAGGTTCAATGCCTTCAATGATTGCCTTCCAAACTTCCAAGTCTTAATAAAAGCTAATTTATGTTACAAGGTGCAGCACATATATATTGAGAATATACTAGTATTAGAACTCATAAGTTCGATCAAACTAGTTGGGCTCAGGCTTAAATATGTACTTGAACATTTCGATCGAGTTTCAACAAATCATTTACTCCCCATGCAATATATATTTTACTCTATTTATTTATTCGTAAAAAGGTTTAGATAAAAGTTTATCAAGTTGATTAACAGTCACTCTTAAATAGTAAAATTTAATAAATTTAAATTTTAATACTTATAATTTTTTATTTATTTTTGAATTTTTTTTTATAAAAAAGTAGATAATTTGAAAATAAAGAATATGCTGTTTTAATAAAATAAAAAATTAATGTTGTAAAAAGCCTAAATATATTTTAAAAATTAAATTATAAAACACTAATAATATTATCTTATTTTATAAACCTAACATGCAAAGTCCAAAAATAAGATCTCAAGCTAATAAGTCTTTTTTTTTCTCTTTGCATGCATTACAAAAGTTCTTTAGTTATATATAGTATAGTTTCGACCAAAACATAGGAGCAATGGAAAAAGCATATCTATACAAATAGATTAAACTTTAAAGTTATCCCCGCTTAAAATTAAAACTAAATTAATGGACAATTCATATTTGTCTTAAATTACAATTTGAGGGTTAAATTATGTATAATATTATAATTATTTGGATTAAATTTGAATTACATGATAATTTAAGAACAAAAATGATTTAATTGGTTAATAATTATTTTAAAAATTAAAAAATAAAAATTATTGTTTTGTGTTTATTTAAAAATCAAATCTATATCCTACTATTATTTTGGGGTTAAAGAGGAATGTGACGACATTTGGTCAATTAAGGTATTTAATTGAATAATACGTAATATTTTGATTCGGTTGAGTTGAGTAAATTATAAGAGATCATATGATTTGTAATTAATTGAATTCATGGATACTATTAATTAACTTATGTTCTTATTCTTTTATTTTAAGTTACATGAATCTAATTATTTATAAATCAATTATTCATGAACTTAATTATTTAAGAATTCATGATATTTATGAAACTAATTAATTGTGAATGCATGTACTAGAAAATGATTTTGTCTCAAATTCCATATCCGCTTTAAGTGTATAATCTTTGACCTTCATCATTCACTTAATCTATTCAAAAGAAAAAAGAAATCAATTATCAAAACCCTTTTGTCCCTTACAAGTTACAGCCGACAAGCTGCATTTGTTGAATATTGGTGTTACTATTAAACATATTGGTACGTAACAATATTAGGTCAAAATCACTTTGCAAGGAATGTAACAATAACAAAGAAAATTTTTAGTTAGATATGGACCGTTCAAACTTTAAAAAAAAAATCGCAATCCAAAAATAACATATTTAAATTTAAAATCAAAATTCATCAAATATCAATTTTTAAAAATGAAAACATCAAATAAATTCAACAAATAAAATTTGAATAAGACAATTATGCACTGAACAAAATATTTGGATGCAATAAAAATATTTATATAGATAAATCATTTTGAAAATTCTGACTAAGTGTAGGTATTTAGTATTTTTTTTCCTTTGATAACATAAACTTATATTTTGGTCATTTAAGCTACAACCCAAGAAAAATCAGAATAAAAATAAATTAAAACAAACGGATGAAAACTGAAGATAGGTAAAAATGAAAAGATTAAAAAAAAAAAAGAGCCCAATGTACACATATATTCAGTTGTCAAACCTCAAAACCAAAGACCAAAAAATTCAGTGAACCACCAACTACAAGACAGTCTAGACTTGACTTTCAGGCCGCAGCCTGTCCGATGATTGTTCACCTACGTTATCATCTGCTCCAATAAACAAACGATCAAATGGCGATTTAATCGATTTAAACAGACCCTTCGGCGGCGGCGTAGCCAACCCCTCATCACCACCACCAACCACCGGTTTTGGAGACCTAACCGATCCGGTCCTAGAGAAAAACGGAGGAGTCATAGTGAACCCCCACCGATCTGACCGATCGAACCTCTCGTAGTTAAAATAATTCCTCCCTAAACTCCTACTCCTATAACCCCTCCTCGAACTCCTCGCTCTGGGGAACGCCACAAAACTCTTAGTACGGCTCAAGCTCGAGTTCATCAACTGGCTCCGTACATCCTCCGGCAACCTTAGCGTGAACCGCTCATAATTCTCTCCCGGCTGTACCAGCGAGTGACCCGTCGAGTGAGACCGCGGAAACAACCGGGTCAACCTCCACCCCGTCGACCGTGACGTAGGAAGACTGTACTGATTATTTGCCGTGTTTGAATTTGTCATATTCACATCCGGCGTTTCTATATCCCTTGTCTGATTAACAACCTCAATACGACTCGTTTCATTGCTTAAATTATTGTTGTCGGGTCGGTTTTCGGGCTCAAGGTCCGAATCGCACACTTGGACCGTAGCGCAGGTGATTGTCTCACCGGGCTTTGGAGCCAAATTGGCGCGGCAAACGGGACAGGTGGAATGACAAGAGAGCCAAGCGTCGATGCAATCAGGATGAAAGACGTGGCTACATTTAGGAATCAAACGCAGCGTTTCGTCGTCTTCAAACTCGTTTAAGCAAACGGCGCACTCGAGCGTGCCTTGTCCGATCTTGAGTCCTTTGACCGTCGAGTAAAGAAACGTCGGGAAAGACTCGATCACCGACGCGTCCAGTCCACGCGTCAACCTCCTTGATCGCCTCCCAAAATTTACGGAGGCATCCCAGTTCCCGCGGCGCATCCTCCTTTCCGCGCACTGCCTGATGTAAACGGAAAAAAATCCCATGAAGAAAAACGCTGTGACCAAAACCACCATGACAATCGCCATTGATGGGTTGAATTTGGGTCCAGCCGATCCGTAGGGATTGGACGGTGGCGGTGGAGCTGCGATCGTTTGGCTTTGCGCGGTTGACAACGAAACGACGAAACAGAAAGAGAAAAGAAGTGAGTTTGCCTTTGCCTTTCCCATGCAAAGTAGTCCATGGTTCCGCCTGAAAAGTCGAAGAAATGAACGGCTACGATCTTTTTGATTCATCAGGTGTTGAATTGAAGAAGACATCAGCTGGTGGAGTGTTGTTTTTGCTACTGTTGATGATGCTCATGAGTTATGAAACAGTAATGACATTTAGCTGTGTTTTTAATGATTTTCTTGTTGCTCAAAAGCAAAGCAAAGTATAAAGCCAAAATAAATGGTTCGCGCTTATACAGCAAAGGGAAGAAATGAAGGGAAAAAAGTACGGTATCTTATGTGGCAGATGTCTGGGAATATAAAGAGAAGAAGAAACTTGTTGTCCAAGCGCCATGGTCTGCGCGTGGGGTTAAAACTAAAAGGATTCCTGGCCCTTAAGCTAAAACTAAAGTGAGATTTGTTGTTTAATCGGGGGTTTTGGATTTTGACTTTAAGGAAGAAAAGAGAGGCCCGCGAGGGAACATAATTTCAGCGCAGATGGAGAGGGCCGGTGAAAAAATGTAAACCTTGACACGTAAGTTGAAGGAAAGGGATGGCTGATTGGTAGGAACGTGGAAATTTACCAAATTTGTCTAATTGTACCGAGTGTGACTCTATCAGGAATTTCAAGCTTCGCTGCTGCGATTTCACCTGTAAATTTGTATAAATCCAATTTTCTAGAAGGTTTAGCTTAATTTGTTTAGTGGAATTTGGCAATTGGGAAAATTTACCATTTCTTTAAACTTGTATATATTTCAATTACAATTTTTTATTATAATTTTATAATTATTTAATTATAATAAAAAATTATATTATAAATTTCATATAAAATATTAATATATTTTATATAATTTTAAATTATAATTAATTAATTATAATATAATAATTATTGGTGATATAATTAATATTTTTTACACTTGTTGAATTAAGCAGAAGATTTAATAATAAAAATTAAAGAAAGTAAGGTGATCAAAGACGGCAAAAAAACTTTAGGTTAAATTTGATTGCACGTATGATTAATTTTGATGAAATTAAAAAAAATAAAAATTATTATAAATATAACTAAAAAAAATTAATAAAAAATTTATATTAAATTAATTTTATTAAAATTAATATTTAAATTCAATCAACATTATATTATATTCAATCATACTATATTAGAGATATGATAAAATTCAAACCTAATCTTAATTTCAAGCCAGCGAAGTCTAGCCCCCACCTCGAGAAAAACTGGATCCCCGTAATGAGGCAGTCACTTTCAGTCTCTTATCCCTTCCAAGCAAATTCAAATTCTATTCCGGTCAAACTAAGGAAAGTATGTGACCTTCCTGGAAGCGCCCATGAAAGTAGATCACAGCACGAAATTAAGTTTTGCCTCAAAAAGTTGTAACTGAAAGAATAATGGCGGATAGTACAAGTGATTTTAAAGCAATTTGTTTAAAAAGGGATTGAAGAAATTATCGCAAAAACTAATAATCAAAGGCAATTGTTATTTTAATTGTTCCTGATATATGTAACACCGGATTTAATAATTACTTTCTCAAGAGTTTACTAACAATTATTTATTGATATCAGTCTCTTTCATCATCGAATGGATGGCGAATCACTGATCCATATTTGATAATTATTAGCATAGAAGCATTTCTTTTTATTTCTTTTTATTGAATTTACTCTTTCAACCAAACTACATATATTTATTATTGAATTAAATATTCATTTTTTAATTATAATTATATAAATTAATTAAATTAAATTTTAGATTTATTCAATTTTTTTTTGACTTGTTAAATTATGTATTAAATGATGATTAATTATTTTCTCAGTCCATCACTTGATAATCTTAGATCAATAATTATCCACATATCTAGTCTACATCAAGACAAAAATTATTATTATATTTCAACATTTTTCATATTTTATGATATTTTTATATTTTTATTTATTTTTAAAAATTTTAAGAGATCACATACTCTAATTTACGAAATTAATTGAGGTACTATCGCTGTATATATGTCTATATAAATATAACAAAAAAATCTCTCATATTTTTAGGTTATATATATATATATATATCCATCTATGTATTTAAAAATTAAGCAGGCTTTCATCTATTGAAGAATTTAATTGGCTCGATCACCATATGCCTTATCTGACAAAATTCCCTAGCATCTAATCCTCTCTGAGGTTTATCCATGCAGCTTTAACCTCTATCCCACCAATCCAAGCTTTTTAATTTGCATAATTAAAACTTGTTTTTGAGTTGGATTTCAAGGCAAACTGATTAGCAATGAATGATCAAAAGGAGGAATTGAAGATGGATGTAAATTATGATCAAGATAAATTAATCAATAATTTTTAATATGAGATACTATTACTAATAAATTTTGTGATTTATTGATAAACGTTGAAGTCTTAATTTTAGTATTAAAAATTAAATTTTTTACGACTTCAAGCATAAAAAAAATAATTAAAAGCAATGAGGAAAACACTGTAAAGACCACCTAGGTGTCAACTTGATCATAAGCAAGAATTATTTCTAGATGATGATAACCCTTACGTATTTTATACTAAATCCTCCAATGCTACAACAAACCATGAAACTGGTTAACTGACTAATTCGTCTATCAATAATTTAATTAACAAGGCTTAACTTTTTGGATTGATATGAACATCAAGACTCTTTTTGGTAAGAAAAAAAAATTATAAAATTAAACTAAAAAATAACACATGGTTGTTATTATGAATAACAACAGTTAAATTTAAAATTTTCCATCCTACCTGTTCGTCTTCCCTATCAAATTATAATAGCTTTCTAGAACAGTTACTTATGCATAAACTTTAAGATTTTCTTTAACTTTTCTTTTCAAATAAATATAGAAGTCCATTGAACATTGGACTATAGAATATAATATATTTCAACCTTTTTTTTTTTTTTTTATCTCCTAAATTTCTCTCCTTTTGGTTGAATATAATATCTTCAAATTGAAATTCGGATTTTAAAGTTTAGACTATTGATTTACTATAAGTCAATATTATATAGACATCAGAAACATAAACGTATATGTACATATAACTGCTTTGGGGTGATATTTTTTAAAAATAAAAGAATAAATGCCTTTTCTTAAAGTTAAAAAAATTAATGTGAGAAAAAAATAATTATGTGTACATAACCTTTTCCATTATTATATATGTAAATGAATAAATAATGAGTTTGTCTTGTATTAATATGTCCTTTGCTTCATTAAAAGAACTATTATTGTTGGCCTGTCCAAGGGGATATATATATATGATTAAGACGGATGACTACTAAAAAAAAATCAGTATAGAAGATTTTTCAAAATTAATCTATTCGTTTACTCATAACAAAAGTAGCAATAGAAAAATGTTAGTACTAAATAATTTGATAAAGACTTCGCAGTTGATTGTACATCATCTTAATACGGAAATCATCGACCAATTCATTTGCCCCATGGCGAGTTTTTATTGGCTTGAAATAGCCTTAATGTCACGGTTTAAGAAAATAATTATGAATTTCATATTAATTATGTATTAAAATTTCATTTAAGATATAAATATTTATATTATCTTTAATTTATTAAATATTTTTTTACAAAATAAAATCATAAGACAATACATTATAAGAACCGTGATAGACTAAAACAAATGTGGAAACTTTGAAAATAAAGACCTTAGGCTTAACGTGCATCCTCATCTCCTTGTTACAAGTTGTACTGATGATGAGACTTAATTTGATCAAATAATTCTTTTCGTAGATGCGTGAAATTGTTGTTTACGTATAAAAAAAATTCTCCTCTTCTGGTTCTGCCATTTGTCATTCTCTAGCTACTTGGCCGAGTTGAAATTGACTCAGTAATCTCATATCTAATCAAAGTGTATATTAATTTTAATTCTTGGGAAGCAAGGAATGAAATCCAGTCATGAAGATTACCTAATTATTTTATACTTTATTTAAATGATAGATAAAAAATAATTTAAAAATGAAATAACGTGATAACGTGATAAAGAATTTTTAATGAATCATCCGAAATGAAAGGATTTTGAACGGTTCAACCCACTTTCCAGCCCAAATCTAACGGCTTAAAGCATGTTAGCCCAGAAGAATGTAAGGAACACCCAGTTAGGCCCATCTATCTAATTGAACTTCAATGATTTTGGTGGCGGTTCGGGCCTCTTCTTGTTGGACCAAACTTCCACTATATCAAATTTCTGAAACTGATAAACTAAATTCATTATTTACTCATGGAAATGCGAAACGAGCAATGGATGGATATTTTGGAGATGAAGGTGATGGACTGAATTTCTTTTCCTTTTGTAATCACAAGAATGCAAATAAACTTCATATATATAAATATATATATATATTTATAGTATATGATAAGAATTTACTTATATCAGTATAAAATTAATTAAATTTTGCACAATTATATATATATTTATATATGTATTGATACAATTTATGTTTTGTCAGTCTAATTGTTGGATTCCCATATTCAATTCATGTATATTAACATGATAAATTTTAAATTCATTAAATATATTTTTTGTAATATAAAAAATTCAATCATTAAATATATGTTATAAAATAAAATATTTTCAATCTATATAATATAAATATCAGAATGACTTAAAAATTTACGTGCAAAATAAGTATAAAAATAGTACTTAAATTATTACTATTAAATCAAATGTTTGTTTTCTTAAAATATTATTCATCTAAAAAGTTATAAAATAATGAAAAACTAACAAATTTTATATCAATATAATTTAATCTCTTCTCTCATATATATATATAGTTTATATTTGATATACTGTCACTGTATAAATTTTATATATTATCAGTAAATCGAATAATATAATTTTATTAATAAGTAAATATCAACCCTTAAAATAGATATACAAAAATTAATATTTTTTTAAAAATTTATTCATTAATAAAATAACGTCATCGGATTCATTTCATTAATGAATTGATATCATCTTAATCACTGACAGTATATAAAATTTATACATTAATAATGCATCAAATATAAATCCTATATATATATATATATATAAGATTTATATTTGATTTACTATCAATTATTTAAACATTATCTTTTATCAATAACATGGTAAGGCTCGACTAAACAATAAACTATATATTTTATCTTCCTTCCAACCATTTTGTTCCTTTTTTTCAATAGACAAAATCATTCTTTGTGCATATCAACATGTTAGAAAATTTATTAATATGTTTCATAAATCTAACAAATCAATGATTAAAAAAATATGTATAATGGTATCGAAGTATACATGTCTTTCTAATTCATTGAAAACTATTTAATGATATTATTGATGTATGTCCTTCAAAAACAAAAAAAATTCACGAGTAAGTACTCAACAAATTCTCTTCAATAAGAGAAAAAAAAGTTGTGAGATTACCACATGGCTCACCCAATTTTGAATCGCTCTTTTATCCTTGTCATGTTGTACGTCGGTAACCCCTTTTACCAAAGGTGAAAAAATTGACAACTCTTGGCTTTAGCTTTCGGTTAGGTGAATTCTCCAACTTTTGGTTGATGTATTGGAGAATAGGTAAGGGATAGTAAAAACAAAGAGAAAAGACAATAATGATTGCAGGAACAAGAACTTGTACCCTAAAAAAATGATTGCAAGAAGCAACAAGCGACCTAGGTTTTATTTCTAATAGTGTTTGGG